TTTATTTATTGGCTTTTTTTTTTTTTTTTTTTTTTTTTTTTTTAATTTGGGATTTGTGATTGTCATGTGGATAATGGATAGATGACCCCCAACTAATAAATAACTGAAAAAAGAATGCCTCCAAAAATCTCAATTTCGCCTGTCAATTAATTGGAAAAAAACTATATTTTCTCCATTTCGTTTTAAAATTCTAAATTTATAATTTTTTTTAAGGAAAATAAAAGATGTATTTTTTTAATTATTATCCTTCTCTTTTATTTATATTTTTTTCTTAATTATAATTTGTAAATTTTCACGTCACTTTCTCAAAATTATAGTATACATACAAATTTTTAATAAACTAATTATATCAATGATTTAACATAGTATGCAATTTGGACCATATGGTATTTTTGCGTGACATTAAATATAATATATAGTTTATTATTATTATTATTATTACTGCCTATTGGAATCCAACTTTGGTGATGGAATAAAGTGAATAAATATTTTAAAGGTGGAATATGAAGGTGTGTGAAAGGAGCCACCTTAAATTGCATTAATATAATATATTTCATTTATTTATTTGTTTATTATTCAAATTTTCCGACCTATAAAGTATATTCGGGTGACCCTTTTGTTACCAAAATCATGTCAAACCGAAAAAGAAAAAAAAAGACCTTGAGAACTGAATTTGACTATAAAATTTATCTGGGTTTGGCTGAGTTGAGCTCGAGTTGGTTCAGAGATTAGTTAGAACCGAGTTCAAAAATAACATGAACTAACTCAACTCAACATAGATCTGTTCAATCGAGTCAATTTTCTTTATTAGAATCATCGGAACAAACTTTCAACTCATTTATGCATCAACAATCAAACCGAACAGTCGAGAATAAAACACGCTAAGTAAGCCTTTTCACACACGTTTGAGTAAGAAAAAAACAGTTTTTTTTTTTTTTTTTTTTTTAATATCACATATTTTTTTCCCCCAAATGGTGCAAAAAAAAAGGGGTCAATTTGCCTGTGAACGAGTTAACAAATGGCCTTTTCTTGCGGTGTCTGGCCGTTTGATACCCTTAAAATTTGGCCTTTTCTTTTTCTTCCAATTAAAAAATAATTAATTTTAATAATTCGATTAAAAAGTTATTAAATTTTTAATATGATATGTAATAAATTTATGAATTTTAATTTTAAATTAAAGGTTTAAGAGAAATAAAAATTTAAAAGACGAGGGGTAAAATTGTAATTTAATGAATAAAAAACAAGGCCATTTATTTTGGTATGAGGTGTCCATATTACTTTGAGTTTCGTAGCCGCTTCCATTTAATATTATTTAATTTTGTTGTGCTTTTTATTTGTGGTGGTTTGTTTGTTGCTAAAGTAGTCTTGGATCTTGTGTTCGAGTCTTCATTTGTTATGGTGTGAAATTTTTGGATGTGTGTGGATGGAGTCACTTGGATTGCCTATGAGATGACACCCGTTTTGAGGCTGTTGTTTCGTGAGAATGGTCGGTTTTCATTTTATTTTATATTATGTACGATCAGTAGCTACGCTACATCGATTTAAAATTTTGATACTCACTAAATTATAAATCTCGATGAAAAAGTACTAATTAAGGTATTCAAAAAAATTCGATGATATAAGAAACTCGATTAACCCAACCCAATTCGTATGGTTTGAGTTGGTTCTGTTGGATGATGAAAGTCCCACCGCTAAAAGCAAACCCATGAGAATTTATGCTCAAAGTAGACAATATCATATCATTGTAGAAAGTCGTGTTCGTCTAACATAGTATCAGAGCCATACCCTAAACTTAGTCCCACATCGGCTAATTTTAGAGAATGATCATGAGTCCATGAGAGCTTAGTGGACAATCTCATACAATTATGGAGAGTCGTGTTCGGATTGGATCGGTTGTTGTTGGGTCTTTCAAAAATACCAACAAAAAAATTATTGTAATATTTAATCCTTTTTTCATATCGACATACGACCTTGTCTATGCATGAGCACGTATGTGTATACATATCGGGATTGTGAAGTTAAATGCGAACACGACATGCCACATGGCATGGATGCTGCTATGGCCATGCACACATTTTTCATACTTGGACTTCATGTTTGGTTGTTGGGTAGCATGCTATTCATCATCTCCTCGAGGTTAAAATTTTTTACTGCGAACATTCTCCTTTTTTAACCTCACCACTTTTCACTCCTTATTTGTCTTACTTACCCAACCCTTGTTATTATTATTGTTATTTAATGAATATTGTAACTGAAAATAGAATGATGGGAACTAAAATATTTATTGAAATTGAAAAATTATTTAATGCTTCTAATTTCTTTATTGGGCTGCGTTTTGATAGTATGGGCCGGCCCAACCCCAAAGGACTTTTGGGCTACATGTGTGTTTTACCCAAGGCCCATATCCACAGTTTAGATATGGGCCGTGAATTAAAGAGATTAGATCCAAATAAAAGTTTCAAATATCCGAATTTTAAGATTTAAGTTATAATTTTTTATTTTTATTTTAAAAAAATGTCTAATGCATCTTAATATTTCTAATAAATCTCTAAACGACGTCGTACATGGGAGCTGAGAGACTAAACCCTGTTCCGTCGATTGGTTCCAATTCTGACCGAAACTCAGAAACTGAATATTTTTACCGCCAGAATCTCTATTCATGGCGGGCGTTTTCCGATCAGCTCACCGGCAGATTCGATCATCCTACAGTAAAATCCTTACTCAGTACTTCGTAACGAGATCGAGTACCAGTCCGATTACGCTCCTCTCCATCTGGTTCGCCGACTCGTTTTCTTCTTTATTTCGATCCATTTCCTCGTACTACTTTTTGCAATTTGTTTCACCTAATTTGAGATTTGGATTATCGTTTAGAATGTTTGCTTTAATTTTTCTGCTGCGGAATTTTACAGCCTGCAATGAGGTTCAATTCATTTGCGGTTGAAGACCGACCGGGCATGCAGTGGATTACATTGAAAGGAAAATTTGGTGACACTGAAGATATTAAAATTGAAGCGACGATGTTTGATGGCTGCAAATCTGTTCCTAAACTTGGAGACGATAGCGATGGTGAAGAAGACCTCCGTCTTCACAGTAGCGTGCTTGTTGATATTTCGAAGAGGGATGGTTCGGACTATTTGGAGTTCGTGTGCTCGGCATGGCCTGATTCGTTGGAGATTCAGAAACTATATGTTCTTAAACGAGATAGAATGCTTTCAAGACCCTGTATGGGGCCTGATTTTAGGTATCGCTCATCTCAAATTCAAAGTTACTTGTCATTTATGTGAATTTGTTGCTACCTTGGCCACTTTTGTTGGTTAATTACAGATTACTGCCCATTTTGGTCTGGATTTGGATGCCATAATACGTTGCCTCTAATAAGTGATCCATGCTAACTGCAAGTTCAAAATCTATCTGCTCTTTGCATCTACTCCATATAGGCTTGAAATATAGTTTTAAATTTTTTCTTACATTCACCGGCGTTGAATTGTCGGCCACATTGTTGTAATCCCTCAAATGATTTCTCCAATATCTGTGGGAGCTTCAAAACACTTTTTCTTACACTTATAAACACCTTACACTTAGAAATTCATTGCAAACCAATAATTTGAGGTGACCAAGGTGCGTGCCTCCTGCAAGGCGATGCTGCCTAGGGTCACCTCGCATCTGTTTAAGTCGGGGCAAGTGTCTTCAAGAAGGCACTCGCCCTACTGTGCCTTCACGTGCCTGTTGGCGCCTTTGTCACAAACCGGATTATATTGAATGTTTCTGATATTTTAATGTTTTTCTATTTAGTATCAATCTTTAAAGCTTTGATATTTGTATGCTTTTACAATGTATGCTCTTTCTATATTATTTATTGACTTATTACACCTCGCCGTTTTGTCACCTCTCCCCTTGAGGCGATCGAGGGGTTTGTTGCCTTGAGTTTACCTTGCACTTTGAAAATAGTTCCAAACAGGCCATATGTTAACTAAAGTTAAGGATCAAGCTTGTTGTTCTTTAACTCCTGTTGTCTACAAATGATCTTTTCAAGTTTTTGTTGACTTCAGGAAATTGAGCAGCGAAATTCAGATCGAATTTCGGGAGTTCTTAGCAGAAAGGAGGATAGATAAGGAGCTTGCTGTATTTTTGCATGAATATATGATGAACAAGGACAGATGTGAACTTATTCGATGGTTGGCAACTGTCAAAACTTTCGTGGAAAGATAAATCATACGCTTCTTTGGCACCATCAAACATGGTTGTTACCATTTTAAGGTATTCAAGGATTATGTTTTTCTTCCTTTTTATAATCAATTGCTATCCATAGTTCATCAATCATGATTAGTTTTAACATATGTACAGTTGTTTTCTCTTTATGGGGTCAGTGAGATTGTGTTAATGGAAAAAAGAGGTAACAAAAAGGTAAAGGAAAATTAGACAGTCGAGTGATTACAAACAGGTAGAACTTAGTGTCTATGGTAAATTTCAGATGCTTTCTACCAGTTGGCCAAGAACACCCCGAAAAGGGAAAAGCATGGTTACAACTAAAAAAAAAAAAAATGTCTTGAAAATTGGTCCTAGTATAATCATTGAAAGAAATTACTGCACTATTGTTTGTTTCCCCAGATTACTACTGATTATATGGTGCAAACTATGTGGTTTTTTGCCTGTGATGTTTGTGATCAATGTTGTTTGACTACTATTGCTTTACTGCAATTATTGTATTTTTGAAACAAAAATCGTATATAGATTTAGGATCAAGATTTTTTAGCCTCGTCTGAAAACCCTTAACGTTTATGGTTTTTGAAAATTAAGCTGTTGAACACTACTCTTATTCATGAGCTTCGTTGATTTGTTATCCACTTTTGACAAATGATTTCAAAGTTCAAACTAAAAAATAGTTTTTACGAACTTGTTCCTGTTTTTTAGAATTTGACTATGAATTCAAATGTTTCCTTAAGAAACGTTTAGAATTTTCAGAATGTCAGTCACTTTGAAAACGAAAACCAAAACAGTTCACATTTTGGGAATGGCAACCGTTAAAGGGTGTGGCTAAATTATCTAGTTAGTGCTACTCATAATAATGTCGAGTTAGAAAGAATACCCTTTTTGAGAAAAGGTGAGACTTGTAGAAATCAGTTCTCAAATAACAATTAGAGACAAAAACTGATGTCCTGTTTCCTTTTCTTTTGATTCACACGGCTTTCCTCATCCCATGTCCTTCTATGTATGCGAAGGGGTGTTATTTTCACTGCTTCAGCATGCTTTTCAAAAGCTAAATGTCTATAATAATTATGTGAAACTAAGTAAAATCATGATTTTGATTTTGATCTTGTTCACATCTGTAGCTTTTGGCTTCTGTTTTTCCTCGCATGTGGCATCATAATTGAATAACCATCCCAATGTTTATTTTCTTGCTTTTATGATTTCTCCCTCATCTTCAACATCAGTTCTCATACTTGAATGTAAAATGCGCTTTATTGTTCTTTCTTTCTTAGATTTACAGCCTGAGTTTCTTCCTGCTTTCAAATTGGCAGAGATTTGAAAGGTGGCTTTGTTAGTTCTGTTGCTTTCACATCTGGGCTTATGATTTAGGATTGTCTAGTGCTAACTTTGTTGTCTGCATGAATGTTAACGTGTGTTTGAAGTAATGACATGGTCTGGATCTGACTGTTCTTCTAAGATTTACCGCCCATATGCTTGTGTTTCTGCTATGGAATAATGCTCATAATCAAACCCTTATTTATTTATTTATTTATTGAAAGTAACTTGCATCGTTAATTATGCAGGAGGCAGCAACAAGTTAAAGCTTTGTAGAACACAACATAATCAAAACTCATCTTGATTTCAATATTTTTTTTAAATAATTCTAATTTATTCCAATTTGTAAATCTATACGTGTTCGGAAAGAATGAAAGGTATTTTTTTCGAGAGTATTTAACTTCATTGTTAATTCATAGGATATGGGGCATAGAGTTGAGTGAAGTTTAGTGCAACGAGGTATTTTTATATCCCCTTTGTCAACTAGACATGTTCGTATTGATGTCGATAGAGAGTTTATGAGATTGTTGAAATTGAGATGAATGCATGGTAGGATGTACAAACCATTTATGAATTACAAGTAAATTTTTGAGCTATATAAAGGTGGACGATGAACTCAGTTTTCCATATTTAATATTTGACCTAGCTTGTCATTTATGAACTTAGAACTCTCGACAAAATAGTTGCGTCATCCTACTTATTTAAAGCTTTAGTTTAAATGGTCGTCACTCTTGAAAATTTAATGGATTAATTTAATACATTTAATTTCAATTGAAAAAATATTATTATTTTTCAAGAAGAATAAATATGATCCAAATATCTTATTTAGCTTTTGGTGGCACATAAGGGCATAACCGACTCAAACAAGTGTGAGTTTATTATATTAAACAATACAAAAAAGCAGATCCTCCTTGGATTTTGTTTTTCCAAAGGAAAGCGACACATTACACGCTATTTCTACTTCAAATATGACAATTTTACCCTTTTAACTTCCCATTATTACCAAAACTCCAACCTTTTTACAATAGGGAATAACCCTTGTTGTTTAATATATTCCTAAATTTCATTAATATATTTAAAATTTTCAATATTCTATTTCCTAAACTATGAATTTTAAAAAAATTCTTATAGGAATTTTAATTCTTTAATAACATTTTGACATTTTTAACGATTTGAAAGGTAAAATAATAATAATAATAATTTATTAGATATATTAAAAGTTTAAAATAAAAGAATAAATTTTTAATTTTTAAAAAATAAAAATACTAAATGAATGACTTTCCAACCTAACCCAAATATATTTTAATAAACAAAATTTATAAAATGCAATTAAATGTGCGCAAGTGGCGTGCTTGCCTTCTAATTATATCTTATCGTCATTCTACAACCTTAATTAAAATAATTAAAATCTAAACACATTCATTAGCGTGGGCCATTTCTGATCTGTCCATGTTAATAAATGATAATCAAATCAATCAATTAATCTAATTGGTTAATTACCCTCCAATTAACAAACTGTAATTAATGCAACAGAGGAAAAAATAAATTAAAATCTTTCTATCTCTAATTACTTTTATATACATATTAATAAAAAGTTAAATTAATCTAATTTTTCTTCAACCCCTTTCCTTGCATTTAATGATTATAAATACATTTCTCCACTTTACTTACATTTAATTTGCGTCTGTATAAATTTTTTTAGTACAAAATAGAATATTAAAATTTAAAAAATGAAGTATAACTGATGAGTGATTAGCTATGTTCATGAATGCGTAATTAATTTATTATTGAAATAAATCAAATAAGAAAAATTATCAATCCCGTCGTTGTATTGTGTCATTTTTAAATTCTTTGATTTAACGATTAATGTTCGTGAATTTATATTTTTTTATCTTATAATACCCAGAAATGTAAAGTTGACAACTTTATTTTTCGAATAATTTGTCACAAAATAGAGATTAAATAAAGAAATTTCTATTTGACTAAATAGATAAATCCTCAAAAAAAATAATAATAATAATAATAAGAGCAATTTAACCTAATAATAATAATAACAACAATATTTTGCTTAAGGTTAGAGCTTGAGAGACAAGTCAAGGAAATTGGTCTGATCCTGATCCTGTTTGGTCTGAGAATGAACAATACTAACATTATTACTACGCTCGTTACCGGCGTTTGAGCTTCCAATCGCCGGCCACCCAGCCACATCATCAAATCTTCCAAAATTCCGGCCGCCCAACTCCGGCGTCAGGCGTCCCACCGCCGGCTGCTGACCCATAAACAACGTCCTCGGCCACAGCTGAGAAGTAGGCCCAGGTCCACTAAAAAACCCAACAGGCTTCTGAATTTGCTGAGAGTGGGCGTGAATTCCCAAGGACCGTCGATCAAACGCGCCGCCGTGAAGTGGAATCGCCGCCCCCCAATCGAATCTCTGAACCCGCTTGGCCAAAGTCCTCTCTCGTTTATGGGCATTTTGATGGCCTCCCAAAGCTTGGGAGCTGAAGAATTTTCTTTGGCAATAATTGCATGAGAAAACTCTAGGCTTTGTTGTTGCGTCGGAGGAGTTGGATGAGAGTTGAAGATCCAGAAGGCTGCTCCGGTCGTCGGAAAGCTCGGCAGGCTCCCTGTCGTCGTCTTCCTCGCCGTCGCCGGAAAGTGGGTTCCGGTCGGTGAGGGGTTCCATGGGAAGATTGGTTTTTTTTTTTCCCCCTTTTTTGTTGGTGAAAAAAAAAAAAGAAGGAAGTTTTAGTATAAATGGATAATGGATTGGATTGGATGTTGGAAGAACATTGAAAGTGGACATAAAAAGGCTGAAACTGTACTGTTCATTACCCAAACAAAACAACTTGAGCCTCTCTTCCATAAAAGCATTATCATCACGTTTTTGTTCATGACGTATCTTGTTTTCAAATTTTCAAACCAAGATCCTACCTCTCTTTTTTTCTCACTT